GCCCCTGGGTGCCTGGTGTTGGAGGGGATCCAGGATTTGCTTTAGCCAGGTATGGTAAGCCATGCAGGTATGTGAATGAATGCCAGGAGAGGAGAAGTTTGTACTCGCAGTCCCCTAGGAGGATAAGGCAGAGCATGCCACTGAGGGCCACAAGGGGAGGCCCCGGAGCCAGAGGGCATTACAGAAAAACGTGGGCCAGAGCCTTCGCTGTGGTTTCTGTGGGGACGAACTGGTGGGGCAGGGTAAACAGGGTTAGGACTGGCTAATTTGGAAAAATCTCAGCGGGCCCTGGGGCGTAGGGGCTGTCCCTGGTTGTCTGGCACCAGCCCAATGGGTGATCAGGGCAGGGGGACAGTGGCCCCAAGTGCGAGAGCCCCACAGAGGAGGGGTTCGGAGTGTGGGCTCTGGATTGGTGGGTTTGCACGTGAGAGGTGCTCTTGCGAGGGAGTCCTTCTCGGGCTCTAGGAATCCGCTGGCTCTGGGAGGGGGCAGGCCTCTGGGTCAGCAAGGGCCCCGATGTCAGATCATCAAAATTACAGAATAGAAAGACGTGGTTGGAATGGCTGGTCTGTGGCAAAGCCACCAACTCGTGTCATGATGAGGCGGTTGTCTGCATGACTGCACAAGTTGCAGAAAGACTCGATTAGTGAACATCCACCCCTTATTTAAAAAAGTCTCAAGTAGTTTGAGAGGGGCAGTGGTGGTTAGACCCTCCAGAGAAAAAGAATGGTTTCTCCCAGCAGGGCCATGTTGCTGCCAAATGAACGGCATCACGTTTTCCTGTAAGAAGTCCCCCCAGCTCGGATATTTCTGGGGCAAATGTGTATAATAAGCCATAAAGCAATGCAAAGAATATCGGTGCCCTGAAGAAATATCGTAGGCATTTGAGCAAACAAGGCTGTTCTAAAACATCGTAATCATCTCTCCCTTGACATCTCACTTGCATCCAGTCCGTCTTCCTTTATTCACGGATTCTGTATTTGCAAACGTATCTGCTCGCTGAGATTTATCTGTGACCCCCAGATCCACGCCCGTGGGGCCTTCACGGTCCTGTGGGGCCATGTGCAGTGAAAAACAGGAGTCACCCGCCCTGCACGTTGCCCACGGAGGCAGGACAGAGGGACACCCTGCCTTCTTGTTCCAGCTCGTGCTGCGGACAGGTGTCCTATTCGCAGTGCAGTTAATGCCGTGTTCTTTGCATTTTTGTGCTCTCCGTTGGGGATGGGGCTGCTTGAAATGGCCCCAAGCATCGTGCTGAAGGGCCATCCGGCATTACCAAGTACAAGGAGCCTGTGATGCCTGGGACGGAGAAAACCCATGTGTTTGCCACGCTCCCTTCAGGCCCGAGTTGTGGTCCCAGTGACCGTGAGCTCAGTGGTAATAGATCAATAGTATGTGTTTTCAGGTGTCTTTCAAGGGAAACACACATAAAACAAGGTTACGTATGGAGGAGGTGATGGAAGTGTGGGCAGAAACTCCCAGGATCCTAGCTCTACGCCTCCATCAGGAGCAGATTCGGCCCTGGCTAATTCAGTGCCCACCAACTTTATGGAACATCGAGACAGTGAACACTAAGAATCAGCTGCAACTTTTTATTTTGAAATCCTTTCAGATACACAAGAAGCGGGGAGCCGGGTGGCTTAGTTGGTTAAGTGTCTTGCCCTTGGCTCAGGTCGTGATCCTGGAGTCCCAGGATCGAGCCCCTGGGCTCAGTGGGAAGTCTGCTTCTCCCTCTGCCTGCCATTCCCCCTGTTTGTGTGCTCACTCTCACTCTCTCTCTCTCACAAATAAAAAAAAAAAAAAAAAAAAAGATTCACAAGAATTTGCAAAAAAGGGTACAAAGAGTCCCAGGTGCCCTTCGCCAAGCATCTTGCCGTGATGATACACCAGCGGGTAAGCAGATACTCCATGGTCAAAGCCAGGTCACTGGCGTGGGTGGAATATTGTCAACTCAGGGACAGACCCTGTTTGGGTTTCGCCAGTTGTTACGTTGCACTCTTCAGTGGGGAAAAGGGAGTGTGTAGTTCTATTAATTTCTTTTATAATTTTATTTATTTGAGAGAGAGAGAGAGCACATGAGCAGGGGGAGGGGCAGAGGGATAAGCAGACCCGGTGCAGAGCAGGGAGCCTGGCGCGGGGCTCAATCCCAGGACCCCGACATCGTGACCTGAGCCGAAGTCAGATACTTAACCAACTGAGCCCCCCCAGGTGCCCCTAGTTCTATGAGATGTTATCCTTGGTATGTATAGATCTGAGTAACCAACACTACAGTCAGGATGCAGAACGGTTCCCAAAGAAACAATGATTTCTTTTTTTTTCAAACTGTGGTAAAACACACCTAAACATAAAATTGACCACTGTAACCATTTTTTAAGAGTATAGTCCAGTCGCATTAAGCACATCACACAGGTGTTCCACCATCCCCACCTTCCATCTCCAGAACTTTCCATCTCCCCAAACTAAGATTGTGTCCCCACAAAGCACGGACTCCCCACCCCCTGCCCCAGCCCTGGATCCCACCATCTCTTCTCTGTGCGGACGGGACTCCTCTGGAGACCTCCTAGAAATGGAGTCCTGGAGATGTGTCCTTCTGCATCTGGCTCCTCTCACTAAGGCCAGTGTCCTCAGGGTCCCTCCGTGTCGTGGCAGGTGTCGGGATTTCCTTCCTTTGTATAGCTGAATGATATTCCATAAAACAGTGATTTCTTGACCTGTTTTGTGGGAGGCACTGTCTTCCCTTCTACTGGGGAAGCAGACAGTGAATGATCAGAATAAATAAGTCAATTACATTGTATGTCTGAAGGGGCCAGCTCATCATTCATTCTTGCTGCTGAAATTCTATCCCTTGGACCCCCTTGAGTGCAGTGGCGCCTGGTGTCCCCAATCATAACCCTTAGACACGGATACCTCAAAGTGTCTCTCCATCATCAGGGGGAGGTTTAAGTTGCTGTAGATTTAGTGTGCCCATCGTTTATTAAAATTCTTTGGGAATGGTGATCCCATTCCCAAAGGGGAGGGTTTGTATGGTGGCATTTCCTCCTGTGGACTGTGATTAAAGCAGAACCCATGTGACTTCAGGCAAGATCTCGGGTCACAGGAACAGTCTGTCAGGCAGGCAAAGGACTCAATTCAGGGTTTGTCCCATATTTGTACATTGGGGTCATGATTGTTTAGGTGGCATTTCAGGTGGTGTAGAAATGGCAGAAAATCCCTGCTCTGGACCACGGAGGCCTCGATTTATGACTTTCGCCTTTATAAATATGGGTGTTCTTATAGGAACGATATCCTCGTCACCTTTGTCTCGATGATGATAGTAATTGTTAGCCACTTGGGATCCTGATGCTGGGTCTTCTGAAGTCACTGACCAGATGTCCCCTTCACCGTGTGGGGCCGTGTTAATGAATGGCTGTGGATCTGTGCTCCGTGTGGAACATGGCATCACACAGCCTACTGGTGGAGTCTCTGTTGATGAGCTTTGTTCATGACTCCTTGACCCGAAGTGTTCTCTCTCACACACACCCACCCGCCCACCTGGAACTACCGGGCATTTCCACCTAAGTTAGAACTCTGAGGGCAGGCACCTGGGTGGCTCAGTCGGTTAAGCATCTGCCTTCGGCTCAGGTCATGATCTCAGGGTCCCAGAATCAAGCCCCACATCGGGCTTCCTGCTCTGAGGGGGAGCCTGCTTCTCCCTCTCACTTCTGCCTGCTGCGCCCCCTAAATGAATGAATGAACGAATGAATGAAGTCAGATGTTGAATCCCTCTCCCCAAAAAAGCTCTTGAGAGAAGTACATTCATTTTCCTCTAGTGCTGCTCCCTTGCCCACCCTAAAGGTCATGACGGTCTGCATGCCGCAGAGAACCACAGTCCCCACTACTCAACGTGTGTGACAGAAACCCGTGGATGGGCGCACTAGGGACCCAGGAGTCACGCTAGTGGACGGATCTCTTCCTAATGCTGCTGGTTATCGCTGCCTGGAGGAGTGCTTTCGAGTGTGGTTTTCACCCTGAGAATGAGCAAGCCAAGCAGCCCGTCCCAGCCAGATGCAATTTGTCAAACTGAAGAGGGTGACAGTTTGGCTTTCCGAGTTTCACTGTTCCATCAGTGAGGAAGCTGATCAGAGCATATGCACATCCCACTGTCTCAGTTCCTACCTTAATCAGCAGAGGAGTGTGAAGAACCCTTTGGAGCCCTTGTTGTGTGTTGGTTTACAATCCTCATGTGAGATGGGATTGGCCCCTCTTGTCCACTGTGGTGCTCAAATTCTATCAGTGTACTTACGATCGGGGCATGTGTGGTCCTACATCATGCCTTGTGGTGGCTGCGTCTCAGTGTCGTCCTGACATCTGATCTCCGGTTAATTACAGTCAGAGAGCGAGAGCGAGAAAGAGTGTGTGTGTGTGTGTGTGTGTGTGTGTGTGTGTGTGTGTGTGATGTCGGCACCGAGCACAGAGCTCCCTATTTAGTGATCTTAGATTACTTATAGTGAATCTAAACTCCTCTCTGCTTTTTTACCCCCCGCCAGGATGGAAGGGGTGTCAGGATTTTTTTGTTGTTATTTTACCAAAGGAGAAGCTACTGTGCGATTTCCAACTAAATGGTCACAGTGGGGACCAATTTCCTGCCCTCCAGACCCGCTGTCTCAGCCAATACAGCGGGAGAGGATGCAGCTTTACATTCTAGAAGGACCACACGGAGTATAAAAACGGCGCAGCCCGGCCTCGCGTCGCGCTGCGTCTCGGAGCCCCGACCGTGAACATGGGGAACGCGCATTCCAAAACCAGTGACAGACAGAGCGCGCACCACGGCCGCCCCGAGCTGTCTTTCTACAGCTCCTTTCCTCGGAAGTGGAGCGAGAATGTCTTTCTAGATAACGAGCTGCTGACCTCCAAGATCCTGTCCGTGCTGCGGCCGCAGTCGGAACGGGGCTTTCGGGCAGGCCCCCTGCGCTATCCTGCCCACTTTCTCAGCACCAACTCTGTGTTTGCCTCTGTCGCAGCATCCCTGAAGGAGCACCCAAGGGCCACCCTCTTGTCTGATGGCAGCCCGGCTCTGTCCAGGAATGTCGGCATGACGGTCTCACAAAAGGGGGCGCCGCAGCCAGCACCCAGCCCGGCAGGAACGGGGACACAGCTTGGGTAAGTGGGGTCCTATCCCTGCGCCAGGTGCCGGTGAAGGGGGAGAGGGAGGGAATCGTATGTGACATTACACAGGGACCCCGCAGCCAGGCTCTCCTAAGGGAGACCCTCAGGTCCGTGTGCACCTGCCCCTTGGCCCCCAGCCACGCCATGAAATTCCTATTAACACTTCCTTCACAGATCTGATTGTCTTTATTGAAACGCCGTGTGTTGTGTTCTGGGGGTACTTGACCGTTAGGAGCTAGTTCTGTTTCCTGCTCTCAAAGGGCCCATGGACAGGGTTCCTATCTGTGTTCGAGACTATGCTAGAAGTCCCGCCGAGGTTGCCATGGAGGTAGCATCCTGTTATTGATGCCTTAACCCTGTCCTCCGAGGACTTGGAACTCAGCAGCATTTGCGCGCAAAACCTAAGGCTAATGTCATTGAGGCGGTCCTTGTTCAGGTTGGCGGGGAAAGGGGCTGATTATCTTCTGCCAAAAAAGGGCTCTCCCTCCACCCTCGGCTGAGTGTGGCTATGTCCACCCAACTCTTGCTGGAAAGAATTCCAGTGGCCCTGGTGAGCTCAGGTGGCTGTTAAAGGAAGCATACGATTGATTGCACCCTTAGAACGTACCGGACATCGGACTGAAGTTAGTTAGGATGGAGGAAGTCCTGGTGTGATGTGGACAGATAGTCTCCTGATTTTTACACATGATCTGTGACAGAGTTTATGTTGAAATCCAGAAAGTTCTCAGGTAGATTTGCCTTCATAGAATGTGTGTGTGTGTGTGTTTAGCTCAATTTTTTAGAGTAACCGTTTTATGATTTTTTGTTTAGACCAACCGCAGGAGAGATGGATGAAGCCGACTCCGTGTTTTTAAAATTTAAGCAGGCAACTGATGACTCTCTCTCGCTCACATCCTCGAACGCCGAGCCCATTTTTGTAGAAGGTACGGTCACCTCAACTCTTTCACAGGCGTCCTGTGGTCTCCACCCGCCCTGGAAGGGGCTGCGACCCATGTCAGTGTGTCCCCAGGACGCCCGCTGGGGTAGCCCAGAGTCAGCGAGGCTCCGGCCCCCAGCCTCGGTGTCTTACTCCTCCCTCAGACCCCTGTACGGCTTCGCTGAGGAGTGAGATCGAGTCAGATGCCCGCGACTTCGAGGCCGAGTCCTGGAGCCTTTCCGTGGACGCAGCGTACGCAAAGACACAGAAGAAGGAGGTGGTCAAGAGGCAGGATGTGCTCTATGGTAAGAAGTTCTGCGCCGTCACAAGGACCTTCCATTTGCTTCTTTTCCGCCTTTGCTCTGATTGGTTGCACTGAGGAGCCTGGGCTCCACTAAGACCTCAGGCTCTTCCCTGAGACTAGGGGGCCCACTCTGCCTGTTCCCCTGGGGCCACCCTGCCTTCCCAGTCAGGGAGGAGGTGGCCCGGGAGGGCTTTGTGAGAACCTGTCCCTGAGGATGAGTGTGGGTGAATGCCCAGTCCTGACTCATGCTGACCCTGCTGGTGACCCCGAAAGAGAAGACTATCCCGGGCCTATCCCAGCCATCCCTGGTGTCCCCAGACAGGCCTGGGGTGGCTGTGACTAGGGGTGCGAGAGACAGAAGACACAGCACTGGCTCCAGGGTGATCGCCCCGGGCAGCCACGCTCCTGAGATGGGAGGTTTTGGACACAGAACCTGTCCCCAGGCCAGGTGCCATGTTGGGGGCCCCACGGATGTCCCTCTGGGCCCCCTCTAAGCAGGATGATGAAGGCCCAAGACACCCACACTGGAATCTGGGGCCTTTCTCTCCCCCAAATGCTTACTTGTTCTTATGATTCTCTTTGTGGGAATCATTCCCCAAGACACTGCTGGGTCGCCTAAGGAGGTATTTTCTGTCCCTCACTGGGGCTCCGTGAGGAGGTTCTGCCGTACAAGTGCCTTCCATTCCACTGGGTCCGGTTGGCAATGGTTGGGTCCACTGGCCCTTGGGTCCCTCCACGTTTCACACCCTGACCTTGCTTGCTTTTTTTTTTTTTTTTTTTTTTTATAAATTTTATTTATTTGACAAAGAGAGTAAGCACAAACAGGGGGAGCGGCAGGCAGAGGGAGAGGGATCCCAGGACCCCGAGGTCATGACCTGACCCAGAGGCAGACGCCAAGCCAGCTGAGTCTCCCAGGTGCCCCTCACACCCTGAGCTTTCTGCCCGGGCCAGAGTAGGTCGGGGTGTGGGCAGGAGGAGAACCCTGTCGATGCTTTGCCTCAGGGCTCCAGACCCAGGGCAAAGATCCTGCAGGGAAGGACAGGGAGGACCAGTCTGGATGCTTCTATCCAGGCAAGCACAGACTGCCTCCAGCCGCCACGGTCATCAGCACCGGGCCTGGCTCTGCTGACCTATGTCTGGTCTCTAGCCACTTCCAGGCCTTGATTTGAACAGCAGCGAAACTCCCAACACGAAACCTGATCTGTCTTTGCCTTTCACCAGAAAATTAAATTCTATACTTGAACTCTGCTTTGTCGTTGGCTATGGTCTGGGTCTAGTCACTGATGTGCACAGGCGTGTGAGTTTCCCACCCCAAGTAATGGTGTTCACCAGAACAATCTTCTTGCTTAAAACAGCCTCTTTGGTCTGGAAATCCTCCCCTGAATTGGAGGCCCCAGCGCACCCCGAGTCCTCTCTTTCCTGACACCACTCCAGCCCTCTCGCTGCTCCCCGACCCTGGGGCCCCTGTGGCACTGGGCCTGGGGGGACAAGAGGCCCGAACACCCCCCCCCCCAGACAGTAAGACCACCAGGGGAAGGACTTAGGAGGAGAACTGGGAGAAGCCAGCCAGGTGCCCGGTGGGTAGGGGGTACGCATGCGTGCCATCGCGGGCCACAGGAGGAGCAACGCGCATCCTTCGGTCCGTGTCCCCGCAGAGCTGGTGCAGACAGAGGTGCACCATGTCCGGACACTCAAGATCATGCTGAAGGTCTACTCCAGGGCCCTGCAGGAGGAGCTCCAGTTCAGCAGCAAGGCCATCAGCCGCCTCTTCCCGTGTGTGGACGAGCTGCTCGACCTGCACAGCCACTTCCTCTCTCGGCTGAAGGAGCGCCGCCAGGAGTCCCTGGAGGAGGGCAGTGACCGCAATTACGTCATCCAGAAAATCGGGGACCTCCTGGTGCAGCAGGTGGGCGCGCCGGGGCGGGCACCGGGCCCGGATGAGCCCCTGCCTCGTCTCAGCTCCATGCAGTCGGGAAAAGAACACAGTCTCTGTTGACTGAGAGCCTGCAGCGGACAGCGGTCCCAGGCCTTTGCAGGAACACAGGTGCCCGAGGGCCGAACGCACCTGGGCAGACATTGTCCACTGTTACTGCATTCTGGGCTTCTGTCTGGTTGCTCAGCTGGGCTCTCTGTTTTTGTTTTTCTGGTTTAGATCTCCGTGGTTGGGGCTGTTAGAAGTAGGTCTGTGGTAAAGGGCGCGAACCCTAAATTGACTTCTGAGTCGACGTCCGAGCCTAGGCCAAGGTGGACAGAGGGGCTCGAACTCCTTGTCCGACCTCAGAGTGCTCCAGGCCTCCAGAGTCAGCTCATTAGAGTTAATTATCAAAATACGTCTTTTCCTTTTTTTTTTTTTTTTTAAGATTTTATGTATTTGAGCGAGAGAGAGAGAAAGCGTGCACCATCGGGGAGGAGCAGAGGGAGAGGGAGAAGCAGGCTCTACGCTGAGCAGAGAGCCCGATGCGGAGCTCCATCCCAGGACCCCGGGATCGTGACCTGAGCCAAAGGCAGATGCTTAACCCACTGAGCCCCCCAGACGTCCCAGCTTTTAAATGTTTCTAAATTCTTCAGCATAAATGTACTCCTCCCCCTTGGATTTTAGGAGGTTTTAGAGCTAACGTCCATTAGAAAGTTTCTTCTCTTGCCTTATTGTAACTTGCGATGAGACCCCCGTCCCCCCAGCCCCACCCCTGTATTGAGATCCTGCCTGAATAAGAAAGTGGAGGCACGAGTTATTCGAGACCTGTTTTAGTAGTCAGCTGAGCCCGACGAGAGTGATCCCTACAGGTTCTCCTGCTCCTTCCCGCTAACATCTGTGTGGTCTCTCTGCAGTTCTCCGGCGAAAATGGGGACAGAATGAAAGAGAAATATGGTGTCTTTTGTAGCGGCCACAATGACGCAGTCAGTCATTACAAGTTGCTGCTACAGCAAAACAAGAAATTTCAAAGCCTGATCAAGGTAAGGAAGAAATTTCTTTTTAATTAAAAAATGTATCCTCTTTGCTGTAGCTTGTTTTCCGCGGGACTGTAGACTTTGGGAGAGCTTACGACGAGGCACCTGTTACACACCAGCGATGTCCAAGTTTTTCAGGGAAGTCCAGATGTAGAACAAAGCAAAACACACCTGCGGCTCTGTTCAGCGGGCTGTAGCGTGGCACCTGCTGGCCCTCGTTCCTCAGACTGCCAGGGGGACACAGGTGTCATTTCAAGGGGCCACCCTGCCCTGGGATCTGCCACTCTCTTGCCTCCTTCCCTCTCTAGTCCCCACTTACCCTCCCTCTACCCCCCCAGGCCTGCAGAATGACCCCTACCTGCCTTGTGCCTAACAGCGTGCAGGTGCTCAAAGCCCAGACCCCAAAACACAGCATCCAGCCCGAGTCCGCCAGGTCAGGCAAGGCCCTGCCTCCCACATTAGACTTTAATTTGAAGTGATAACCAATAATTAATGGCTGTAGAAGTAAGAGGGACAGGTTTTTAAATTCCGCTCCCTTACAGTCGCAGTGGACAGAGGTAAAAGGGAGTCTGGGATTGGCCCAGGAGGCTCACAAAGCCCACAGTCCTGCTCAGAAGCGGCTGTCACGATTGCTGGCATTCCTGGAGTGCAGGAGTGCCGGGGCGGGGGGGCAGAGAAGCAGAATGTGTGGAATGCTCTGGAGGGCACCAGAAATGGCCCTTCGCCCTGCCGAGAATTGGCTTCGGATGACGGCTTCCTGGGTTCTTAGCCAGAGGCGTGCTTCAGGAGCCAGCAGGGGGCCGACTTGGGCTCTGGCGCAGTGTGGTTCCAGAGGCTTCTGACAGCCGCCAGTCAGGGTCCCCGTGTGTGGATACGCACGCGTGCGTGGATGTGCGTGTGTGGGTGCGTGAGTGTGTGCTCACACCCGCGATACACAGCTCTCCGGGTGATTCCATCCCGCCCCCCTGCCCCCGGCTGCTTCTGGTTTCTTCTGAACGGGTTTTACAAGAGGGGAGGCTGCCTTCGCTTCTGTGGCCTTTCTGTACACAGCAGGTGAGCCTTACTTGCAGTGAGTACTTGAAAAGGTTTTGTTGAGCTGAGAAAGGGGGAAGCGCCCGGCCTGGCACGAGATGAGATGCCAACAGGACGTTTTGTTTCCCGTGTCATAGAAGATCGGCAACTTCTCCATCGTGAGGCGGCTGGGCGTGCAGGAGTGTATCCTTCTGGTCACTCAGCGCATAACCAAGTACCCCGTGCTGGTGGAGCGCCTTATTCAGAACACAGAAGGTAATGTCGCTGCCCTCACTGCCTGGCCCGCTTTCGCCCTCAGGAGTGACCTCTGTCTCTCTTGTCCCATGTTAGCAGCAGACTGGGTGAGCGCCCCTCTGTGCTCCGTCCCCGGTGGTCGGGATTCACGCCGAGCTCTGGGGTTTCCGACCCAGTGTGGGTCCAGGCACAGAGATGGTCCGTGTGTTGCGTGCCTAGAAGCTGGAGGGCAGAGGAAACAGGGCGCACAGCCCAGCCCGGAGTTCTCCGAGGCCAGGGCCTGACCACACCTGACCATACCTCCCCCGCCCCCAGGAGATTTGGGCCCCAGGAGAACGAGCACATTCTCCCGCCACAGAAGCCAGAAGCTTGCAGTGAGAGGAGCAGGGTGTGTGTGGGGGGTGTTATGAAGAGCTGGCGGGCCCAGGGGCGCACGTTTAGCGAGAAGTGACCACTGGGCCGCATGGAGCTCACGGGAAGCTCTGTCTTGGCAAAAACCAAAGGCCGGGCTGCCACGTTTCTTTCCAAAAAGCATTTACAGCTCGGGAGATCCGAATCAGAAGGTGGATTCTCAAGGTCCCCTGAGCTGCGGCTTCAGGGAACAGCCCTCAGAGACCCGGCGTGTGTCCCCTTGGCGCCGTGGTGGTGGAAGGGGGTGGAGGAAAGCACTGACTCTGGTGTGTCTGTGTGTGGCAGCTGGCACCGAGGACTACAGAGACCTGACCCAGGCCCTGAACCTCATCAAGGACATCATCTCCCAAGTGGACGCGAAGGTCAGCGAGTGCGAGAAGGGCCAGCGCCTCCGGGAGATCGCGGGGAAGATGGACTTGAAGTCATCCAGCAAGTTCAAGAACGGGCTGACCTTCCGCAAGGAGGACATGCTGCAGCGGCAGCTCCAGCTGGAGGGCACGCTGTGCTGGAAGACCACGTCGGGGCGCCTGAAAGGTAAAGGCCCGTCCCTCACCTCTGCTGGGGGGTGGTGGGGGACCGTCCCGGATCAGCGGCGCCTTGTGCACAAGCAGGCGCCGGCCTAGCTGCTCCGCAGCCGAAGGGAGGTTGGGTGCACGCTGAGTCAGGATGAGACGGGCAGCCAGGAGCATGGGAAGAATGGGCTTTGGGGTGCTGCGGGACCCACCACAAGGGCCACTAAATCGCGGGGGCCCACTGAGCCTGTGGCTCCTGAGCAGAAACCCGAGGCTTCGGGACACCCCAGGTTTGTCAGAGGCCCCAGGTTGCCAAACAAGCAGCCGCTGAAGGCCCCCTGTGTGGGAGGACACACCACCCAGACCACTGACCTCGGTGGCCCCAAGCATCGCACTCCCTACTCAGGGTGTCCTTCGAGCCCCACTTCCAAAATCCACCATGTGCTTCCAGAACAGAGAGCACTTGGGACTCAACACTAAGTCTCCTGGCTCATCTCGTGAGCTTCTGGAAACTTCCTCACCCGCCCTTTGACATCAACATCTTTTTTTTTTTCTTTTTTTTTTTTAAGATTTTATTTATTTGAGAGCGAGCATGAGAGAGCACAAGTGGGGTGAGGGCAGAGGGAGACACAAACTCCCTGCTGAGCAGGGAGCCTAATGTGGGGCTCGATCCCAGGACCCTGAGATCATGATCTGAGCCGAACGCAGATGCATCACTGACTGAGCCCTCCAGGTGCCCCAACATTGGCGTCTTGAATGATCTCTCGGGGAGTGTTTGAGACGGCCAATGACCAAATGTGTCTGTCCAGAATTTGCACAGGCGAGCACCCAGCGGATGGTTTAACACCCGCTGTGTGCGGGACACCGAGGTGGGTGGTGGGAGGCCCTCGCCTTCAGGGGACTTCAGTCCGTGGCCCGAAAGGGAGAAGTGAGGAAACAAACAGAAACTAGTGAAAAGTGCAGTTAATGCTTCAGAGGAAGCCGTCAGGCCACAGGCGGGAGAATTATGGAGGGAGATAGAAAATAGTGAGGTAGACGGACACCCCCAGACTCCTGCAGGAGCATCACAGTGCCAGGCTGAGTGACCGAGACCCCTCCCCGGAGGCTGAAGCCTCCCCCAGGACATACATATGGCCCTGCGACCCCGTCAGACATGTCCTTCTGTGCTTTCTCCTTAGACGTCCTTGCTGTCCTGCTGACAGACGTGCTTTTGCTGCTACAAGAAAAGGATCAAAAATACGTCTTTGCCTCGGTGGTAGGTGTCCTGTCTTCTTCAGATGAAGGGTCCCGCCCGCCTTAGGGACCCTTAGGGGTTTGCTGGAAGGCTGCCTGCACAGAAGGCGGCTCTGTGTTAACCCACTGTCCCAGGTCCTCCCGGGAGCCAGAAGGTTCCAGCAAAGCAGGAGTAGAATTTTCCGAGACCCCCGGGGTCCTGTCTGGTTGCCTGGGAAGGCTTCAGGGGCCCGTGCTAACATCCCATCTAATCTTAGCCTTTACATTTCTGTGACTCTGCCTCACTTGGGGCTTAGGGTCTTGGGGGCTCCAGCTGACTCTGTCCTGCCCCCACCAAGTATGACACCAGTTACCCTGGACTGAGGCCACCCTCATTACTTCAGTTTACCTTCATCACCTCTGTGAAGGCCCCATCTCTAAATAATCCAAAGGGTCTTTGCCCCCCCGATGGCAAATATCTCTGAATTATTTGAGAACAAAGGTGCTCGCTTCGGCAGCACATATACTAAAATATATTTGAGAACAAAGGGGCACAAGAGCCCCCCCAACCCGCTTCCCCTCAGACTCGGCTCTACGGCTGCTCCAACGCAGCCCGGTGAACGGGGTCCTCCCCGACCCCGCCTTCCACCCACACAGGACTCGAAGCACCCAGTCATCTCCTTACAAAAGCTCATTGTGAGGGAAGTGGCCAACGAGGAGAAAGCCATGTTCCTGATCAGCGCCTCCCTGCGAGGGCCCGAGATGTACGAGATCTACACCAGCTCCAAAGAGGAGAGGAACACTTGGATGGCCCACATCCGAAGGGCCGTGGAGAGGTGAGAAGGGCCCGTGTGCGTGTTCCCTGCCCACAGCTATTTGGCCCTTGGCTTTGGGCAAAGCAGCTGTGACCTTGAAGTACCCAGGAGAGGGCTGGAGGTCGCAGGAAGGCCAGAGGCCCCTCTGCCTTTCCCCTGCCTCATTCCGCCCTAGTGCCTTGTCCACCCGCCTCATCTAAAGGGGACACCTGACACCCTTCCAGCTCCTTCCACCAATAGCTCAACCAGTCAGAGGCTAAAAAGATGTTGCTGGCCAGTGGGTGTGGGCCCTCTATACTGGTGGGGTGCAGTGAGGGACACCTGACCTGGGGGCCAGACCTGTCAGAGGGGGTTGTGGTGTCCTGTCCTGTCCTTCCTCAGGCCAGGGACCCCTCAGGACCCCAGCCGGCTGCTGCTCCCTCTCTTTATGCCTGGAAGCTTCCTGAACCTGCTCAGAGCTCCCTCGATGCTGAATTTCAGTTCTGCAGCCCCCCAGGAAATGAGCTGTTCTCAGTCTCCTCCTGCCACGTGGTGGCCAGGCATGGAACCCACGGCTGGTGACGGGCGGACACTTGAAGACAGGATAAAGGCGGCGGCTGCCTTGCTCTTCCCCCTCCCGTCTCTCCCTCACTGTTAACGAGCTCAGTCACCCCCAGGATGAGGCGCTCTGAGCAGCTGCTTCTGCTGGTGCAGCTCTCGGTGCCCATCGCCGAGGCCAGCCTGTCCGAAGGCGTTGCTGCCCGTCTGCCCCCTCTCCCTGCAGCTGTCCGGACGAGGAGGAGGGGCCCTTCAGCGAGGCCGAGGAGGAGAAGAAGGTGTTCGAGGCCCGCGCCATGAGGCTGAGGGACTTCCAAGGTAAGGGGAGTCAGGCTGGACCACCGTCATGTCCCCCGTAGGGTGAGGAGGGCCTGGGACCGCCAGCGGCATTTCTGTCCTCTCCCACTGGGGTCAGCCATGGAGCAGATCTCCACCTGAGTAACCAGGCGTTTTGTGAGGCTTTGTCATGAGAGGGTGGTGCTCGGGGCCCCTGAGCCGTTTCCAGACACTGGCTTTGCCACACACCCTGCCCCCCCACCCCAGTCCCTGTCCAGGAAGGAGCTCGCTGGGGGTGTCCCAGGTCACATAAGGCAAAAACCCCAAGGGGACTTAGAATAGCACAGGACCCCACAGCCTCCTTCTAGAGCCTAGTACACCCACAGCAGCCCTGGCTTTGTGTCTGCAGACCTCAGTCTCCAGCTCCCTGTTTTAATTTGTTTTAACTTCTTCGTTGAGCTGTCACTCATCACGATACAATTCAGCATTTAAAGTACACCAGTCCGTGGTTCATAGTCTCTAGCAGGAGATCGTGCAACTGTCACCACAATTTTAGATCATTTTCACCACTCCCGAAAGAAAGCCCATCCCTGCAAGCTGTCACTCCCTGTTCCTTCCTCCCTCAGCCCCTCGTCACCTCTGTTCTGCTTTCTGTTTCTGTGAATTTGCACATCCTGGGGATCTTGTATCAATGGGGTCTTGCCATGTTTCTCCTTTTGTGTCTCAGCTGACTTCACTGAGCGGGATGGTTCAAGGTTCAGCCACATTGTAGTGTGTGTCGACTTCCTTCCTTTTTAAGGCTGAATCCCGGACCATTGTAAGACGCACCCCATGGGCTCGTCCGTTCCCCTCCCTGGGCCTAACAGATTCCCACGAGACTTCAGTGAGATCACTGCCAAGAACAATGCCGGGGACTTTGTGGTCTCAATCGACCCCCCTCTTCCCCCTCACTAACTGAGTCATTTATTTTTAAATTAGGGAACACGTAGGCCACAAAGACACAAAATTAGGTAGTATATATTTATTTCTCTTCGTGGGGAGGGTGTAAGTTTGAGAGTATTTATTCATAGAAATGTCCAAAAGAAAGGAGGGGGACCTCCCACTGACCCCAGAAGCACAGTGCGGACACAGTGCTCATTCAGACTCTCTATTTCTACCTGCTGATAATAAAACATGAGTCCCGTGTAGACATATCTCCGCCGCTGCCACAATCCTACAACAGTATCCCTCATTCCTGACGGGATTCTCACTGCATTAGAAATAGATACTTTCGCTATGGAGATGGGCTTTCCCATCTCCGATCAAAAGCTGGTCTCATCCTTCACGCTGGCCCATGAGGGACACTCACCCAAATCAGGAGCCAGGCAGGACCAGCCCCTCCCGCTGGGATTCCCTACACCCTGTAAGTTCCTCCAGGGTCACAAGGGGAGAAGTGGAAGTAAGACCAGGACTGCAGGGCAAGCGACAGACTTGTGTTTTGCATGTGATGTGATTACTTGCCTAGCAAATCTAATAGAACCACCTAGAAAACTGTTGGAACCTCTGAGGGCGCCCAGTAAGTAGTTCAGCCGAACGTGACGTGTATACACGGGCAGCTACCAGTGAGAAAGTTGCTGTCGCAGCAACAGCAGCAAAGAGTATCAAACCCAGAGAGACCTGTAAGGAGTCTGGCCTAAATGCCTGAAGGAGGAGTTTCGGGAGAAGACGACGAAGGCTTGGAGGAGTCTTCCTGCGGCCCATACGAGGAAATCGGCCTGTTCTGGTCCTCGTGCACACCCCACAGTGTTTGGTTTCTGTAACTAGAGCAAATGATCCAAAGACAGGGTTGTGGCCTCCCCTGCCCCATGGGATGTTGGACTCAGGGTGGGCTGCAGGTGGGAGCTGGGTCCCCAGGGAAAATAATCCCAGAAGGCGAACCCTCCGTTTCCTGTTGCTTTGCAGAGCGACTGAACGTGAAAGACCAACAGATTGCACAGAGCCTTGGCGAGAAGCAGCAGATCTACCTGGAGATGGCGGAGATGAGCGGGCTGGAAGACGTCGCTCAGTCGCGACTCCTCTTCCGAGGAGGGGATTTCTCGGAGACCATGCAGGGGGAGCTGATCCTCAAGTCGGCCATGAGTGAGAGTAAGGAGCCGCATCTAGGGGCCCTCACTGGGTGCTGGTCCACGGCCGCCCTACAGTTCTGCCTGGTGGGGGGGGGCGGGGTCCGGGCATGCTCCCGGAAACAGTGTTGACCCCCCCAGCAGACTTACAGCACCTTCTCCCGGGCACCCACTACAGGTGAGGCAGCACCACGCTGCGCCCCTGGGATCTGAAGTCACCCAAGACGGGTTCCCACACTCGGGAGGTTCTTTCTGACAAGTGGGTCCCAAATGATGTCCCCAGAAATAAGCACACATCCACATGTGGTAGGTCACTTCAGAGGGCTCCAAGACCCAGCCAGCCTCCCAGGAGGGCTTCCCGAAACATCTAGGTGGGAAGAGGCTTATGAGCACAGCGGCCACAGGAGGGCACTGGTGAGCACGTGGCCTGTCCCCTCTGTGCACCCTCAGCCACAGGGCCTGCTTCGGGGGGTGGCCAGGGGCCTTGCCCAGCCCCTAGTGGCCCCCAGGCAGCTGCCGAGCCAGCCCCACTTGAGGCCCAACATGTGTCAGGCCGGGCAGCTGGTGCTCGTCGGTCCAGCTGGGAAAGCAAGTGAGGGAGACAGCTGCTGCCCTCCAGGCCTTTCCTTCGGAGTAGGGAAAGAGGGCTCCCTTGTGGACTGTGCGGCCGCACAGTCTCGTTTCCTCCAGCCACACTGACCTTCTGTTTCCTCACATTTCTTCGGTGGCCATTGTTCTTGGCCCCCTGAGGACCCTCTTGTATCCTGTGCCTCAGCCTGGAACGTTCTTCTCCCCTCCTCCTCACCTGGCCAAAGCCTGTTTGTCCTAGAGCATTTTGTGTGACCTGACCAGCCCCCAAAGGCCGCTCTCCCATGGCCTCCAACCATCTGTGTGACAGTCGACAGCCAAGCACACACCCACGTTCCTCCCCAGGCCCAGCATGTCCCCAGCCGCCCCCACACGCTACCCCCTGGTCCAGCATCTCCTGCGGACACAGACTGGCGTGTCCTGGTTGTTGTGCCTGGAGTTCAGGCATGCACAGGCTGGGGGTGGTGGCGACTGAAGTCCCATGTTAGGGGGATAGAAGACCATGACCAATGCCCTGCGGGCTTCTCGGGCTTGAGTCCCCAGGCGCTGCCACACTCTGACACCCACAGCGCAGCTCCACAGCCTGACTCTGTTCCTCCCGTCTCCTTCCGCAGTCGAGGACATCCAGACCCTGATCTGCAGGCAGCTGGGCAACGCCAACAGCCAGGTGGAAGACGGGGGTGGCTCCACAGGCCTGCCCCGCAGGGCAGAGACCTTTGGGGGCTATGACACCATGAGCAGCCCCGGCAAGAGTGAGTGGTGCCGCGTCCCCCTGGGGCTTCGCGGGGCCCCGCACAAGAGTTTTTGCGGGTTCTTGGAGCGTTCCCAGCAGTTGAGGCAAGGCATTTGCTGCTGGACGTCTCTGCTTCTGCTTCCTGGCAACCCCCTGCCCCAAGTACGAACCCTCTGGGCAAGTTCTGGAACCTTCAGGGAGTTGTCCATCGTGCTCCAACAGCAGCACACGGGCCAGCCCCTCCCTCTCCTGCCAGTCTCTGAGTCTCAAATGCCACCAGGGTGGCATGGCCAATTTCCTACCTGGGTCTCAGGGATGGGGGGGCCTGGTCCGGACCCCGTGGGACCTCACGCGCCTGGATTGGGCTTTTCAGATGGCAGCTTGAAGAAGGCCTCCAGCAGTGACCCCGGCCCCCGAGACTGGCAAGGCCCAGTGCGCAGCCCAGACTTGCAGCCCAGCAGCCCCCGGGAACCCCCCGAGGAGGCCCCACCTGCAGTACGTTGCTTCCTTGGGATATCCCTGAGCCGAGCAGGGTCAGCCCAAGCCCTTTGCGTCAGCATTCACAAGCGTGAGCCGCTTGTGTTCGGGGTTGTCTCGTTTGGGCGTCTCAGGACCCATAGTGATCAGCGCCGTTCCCATTGTCCCGGGAAAGAATCTGGGCCCAGATGAACCTGTGGGCGGGCTTCACATTCCCTCCCGCGCTCCCCAGGAATGGTACGAGGTGCCCAGGACAGAGGTGAGGGAGGGGACAAGCCCAGGGCAGGAGCTGTGGCCGCAGCAGCAGCCAAGGGGCACGACGGGGGCCCTGAGCACCAAGTCTACACGCGTGTCCTCATGCCCGCGTGTCCTCATGCCCGCGTGTCCTCACGCCGCGTGTCCTCATGCCTGCGGTTGCTGAGGTGCCTGGCTGCTTCCCTCGGACTCTAGAGGCCCACCCTTACCAGGCGCCTGGGCCAGAGTGGGGGCAGGCTGTGGGTCAGGCTCCCCTCTGCTGCCCACTTGCTCCCCTGAGCCCGCGCTTACCCTCTGAGAGCTGAGGCAGGGCGCACCTGACCTCCAAGACTCCCCACGCGGAACTCACAGCCGCTGCCTTCCCACCTCCAGGAAGGCCGGCGTGTGCCCTCGTCTTCCAGACTCCGGGACTCACACAAGTCAAATGACCAGGCAGGGCGTGGGGGAGGGTGTGCGGGGGGGTGGGGGGGTCTCGGTAATAAGCAGGTCCTTAGCTCTTCGTGTTAGACACCATTCTCTCCACAGGTCACTGTGCCGGGTGCGGAGTGTGGGCGCCGTCTGCCCACGGTCCTGGAGTTTGAGGTAGGCTCGGGGCTCATCCGGGTCCCCAGGGGCGGGCATACACAGCCCACATGGCTTTGCAGAGAGCAGGGAACCAGCGTCTCTGTCCCTCCCCGCAGCTTGTCCAGCGGATCCAGACCCTGTCGCAGCTGCTTCTCAGCCTCCAGGTACGAGATGGGAATGGGGTGGTTCTCCCTGGGTCCGTGACCTGGCCCTTCTCCAACCCCTGAAGTTGGGCTCTGGGGAAGGGCAGGCCTCGTCCTAAAATCAGCCCCTGCCCGCCGCCCCGCGCAGGCAGTCATCGCGCAGCAGGACAGCTGCGTGGAGGTGCAGAGGGCGTCCATCCAGGAGCGCGAGAAGCAGCTGCGGCTGCAGTCCACGCGCGGGAACATGCTGCTGGAGCAGGAGCGCCAGCGCAACTTCGAGAAGCAGCGGGAGGAGCTGGCGGGCGTGCAGAAGCAGCAGGGCCGCCTGCGGCAGGAGCAGCAGCGCTGGGAGCGGGAGCGGGAACGCCAGCAGCAGGAGCTGGACCTGGCGACGGCGCGGCTGCGGCAGCGCGAGGGCGAGGCGCTGCGGCTGCAGGAGCAGCTGAGCCAGGAGCGCGAGAGGCTGGAGCAGCAGCGGCGGGCCTACCAGCACGACCTGGAGCGGCTGCGGGAGGCCCAGCGCGCCGTGGAGCGGGAGCGGGAGCAGCTGGAGCAGCAGCGGCGCCTCAAGAAGCAGAACACGGTGCCCGGGGCGCTGCCGCCGGACTCGCTGGCGGAGGTGAGGGCCCGCCCGGTGCACCCCAGGGGCGGGAGCGCGCGGGGCGGGGAGGCGCATGCGTGGCCGCGTGGGACGTGGGTGTGCGTGGCCGCCCTCGGTGGCAACTCAGCAGGTTGCGCGAGGTTGGTGGGGGCGGGAAGGGAGGGCTCTGCGCGCATCTGAGGCTGGTGGCTTGGAGGGCCCGGTGGGGGCTGGGTTGGCCTTCGGAGGAACAGCTTGGGGATGTGTCCTCTGCTGCCCTTTCAGGCCCAGCCCCCAAGCCACACTCCCAGCTTCAACGGGGACGGACTGGAAGGGCCCGCCGCCCTCGCCAAGGCGCCAGGAGCCCGGGCGAGCGTGCTGCTGTCTGGAGCCTGCCTCGAATTCGCAGAGCGCCCCGAGGTGGCCCGCCGGGACAGCGCCCCAGCCGAGAGCCGGCCGGCCAAGAGCGACGTGCCCATCCAGCTGCTCAGCACCACCAACCAGCTCCAGAGGCAGACGGCGGTGCAGCAGCAGATCCCCACCAAGCTGGCCGCCTCCACCAAGGGCGGCAAGGACAAGGGCGGCAAGAGCAGGGGCTCCCAGCGCTGGGACAGCTCAGGTGAGTCCGGGCAGGGCAGCGGAGCTTGAGCAGCGGAGCCGAGCTCCAGGGGTACCCTCCACCCCACCCAGAGGTGCAGGACCTTGGGCGCCCACCCAGTCCCTACGGCCCAGGACTCGAAGGTCCAGTCTTGGGCAGTTTGTGAAGCCAAAGCGGCTTCTTATGAGCAAACCCAGATGGGACCCCAGGGCCATCCTCCAGAGTGGGCAACAGGAGGAACCTAGAAGGCACAACTGGCGACCTCGGCTACATGGCACAGGCCAGTCCTCTCTCCACGTGGAGGTCTCATCCCGAGAAGGAAAAGGAAAACATCAGAGCCCATGTCTTTTCCCCAGCTCGGTCCTCAAACAGGGATTGGCAATGAGAGAACATCTTGGCAGTTCAGAAAGAAGAGCCTGGGTCCCTTAGGGACATCGAGGCAACCAGTGTTCATGCTCCCCACCGGGCCCCCACCCGGGTTCCTGTGCCCGGGTCTCTGCCATGTCCTCATCCCAGAGGGGACACTGAGGGCCTTGTGGAGCGCACCCTGCAGTGAGAGGTCCCCCGGGAGAGAAAGCCCCAGGGATCCTGCGAGTGCCGCCGGCATGCAGGCTCTGGCCGGGGGGAGCCAGCCCTGGAATGTTCCTGAGGAGCAGGGCCTGTGTCCCAGGATCGCCGGGGCTCGAGGGCCGTGGGGTCGCACTCTCATCCAGAGGTTGAATGACTCCAAGGGCCTTCTGGTCGGGTGTGGCTGCTTCTGGGGCTTATTACGGTCTGGTGGGTGTGTCCCTGGGCAAAACGGTTCTGCTCTGCTCGTGTGCCCGGAGCGACACCAGACACCTGAGGCTGTGTGCTCCCTCCCTCAGCCTCCTTCGACCTGAAGCAGCAGCTGTTCCTCGGCAAGCTTGTGGGCAAGGACGAGAACACCGCTCGGAACCGCCGCTCGCTGAGCCCCATCCTACTCAGCAGCCACGGCTCTGTACCCTCCGCAGGTGGGCCCAGCACCCCAGCACCCTGTCCCTAGGACAGCAGGGCCAATGCGACGCCTGGCACCTGCCGACAACCGCTATTCCCCCACTCTCTTCCAGAACCCTGCTGCCCGGCCCCAGCTGACGTCCCTCCTGAGTGCTGCTCCCTCAAGCCTGGGGGCACCCCCGTGCCCCCCTCCCCCTTGCCACTGCCCACCACGCCACTCGACAAAGAGGACAGCAACAAGGAAGACGTCATCTTCTTCTAGAGGGGCTGTGGTTCGAGGTGCAGACCCCTCCCTGTCCTGCTGTCTGGGGGACAGCCCAGTCGTCCCTCTCCACTTCCCGAGCAAACCACCACCAACGGCCACCTGGCTTGGGTCAGGGTCAAGGTCAGGGCCAGGGCTGGCCCATTGTCTCGAGGCTCTTTCTGTAGGTTTAGCAGTGGTGCCTGGGTAACTTTCTAAGCCTCTCTTTTTTAACACAAAAAGGAAAGTTTTTAATCGAAGGTTGAACCAGAGCTAACCGAAGGAGCTGTGTCCAGTCACAGCTCCCCTCCTGGGGAGGGAGAGATCAACTCCACACCATTTGTTCCAAGGTAGTGACGAACAGTGGTACAAGATGCCTGATGACAGGCCAGACCCCAGTCTGAGGAGGGGGGGGGCCACCAGGAGATGCTGGAACGTACCATTAGGGTCCCAGAAGGGGCTGGGTGCCGTCAGCAAGCCCTACTTCCAAAGCTGAGACTTGACTGTGTTCCTGGTGAACCTCAAGGCCAGGGCGTGAGTTCAGACGGGGTGGGGGGGTGGGTGGCACACAGCGCCCCCTGGGGACAGTAGGCCACAGGGCCGGGCGTATGAAGAGGACGGCCAATGGCTCAGGAGACGGGCTGTAGAGGTTCTGAAAGGGATAGACCCTAACTCATTTTAATTTGACAGGTTTTTAAAACCTGCTGTTGCCAAACGTGGTGCTTTTCAAAGGCACCTCAGCACGGAGGCCTGCTTCTGTGGAGTTCAAGGGCACCAGCCATTCTCCGAGTGCTCAGCCTGTCTGGAGAAGCCCAGTAGAGAGCATTAGCCGGGGCCACTCGCTCCTGAGGGTCCCAGCTCAAGGCAGAGGGTCCTCTGCCCCCATGAGATGGGAGGGGTCTTCCTGCAGCTGCAGGGAGGAAGGCCTCAGGGCAGGTGTCCTGCAGTGACGGACAGGTGCTGGTACAAGAAACAGAGTGGAGGGACCACCATGTCCTCGTGGACAAGGGCGAAATGGTAGAGGGGTCACACATGGCCTGGAGACCTCGGATGGGTGGGTGGCTCCTTCTGCCTTGTGGCCAGTGAGCTCTGTTAGGCTGTTGTCACCTCCCACTGGAGGACAGGGGTTACCCGTCGTGCTGGATGTCCAGGAATGTTCTGGGGCTGGCCAGTGGGTCGGAGACACACTTCAGCTGTGGAGGAACTCAAGCTCGGGCACAGGGTGGTGGGTGAGGATACACCAGCCTTTGCTCCCCAGGCTCCCCCACCCCCACCCCACAGAGCCCAGAGCCCTGTCCCTCCCAAAGCGGCAACTGAAGGACTGGGACCCCAGCTGAGCAGTTCTGAACCTTCCCCGGGCACAGTGAACGGTGTGCCAAGCCCGGCCTCTCCGAGAACCTCCGCGCTCCACCCCTCCCCTGCCTCCCACTGTGCTTGGGGCCTGCAGCAACTGCGCATCCTCGGGGAGCAAGGACAGGCGTCCTCCCTCGGCCCCGTGACGCGTCCAAGCTCATCCGAGCCATGTCTGTGGTCAGTGTTGGTGTTTTCGTACTGAGACGTCTCCGAGCACTTTAGCCACGTCGACTTTAAGTTTCTGTCCTCTTGTGAAGAGAACATTCCCGGGCCCTCATGCTGGGTGATTTTACCGCCACGTGCCCCTGGCCGCCTGCTCTGGTCTGACCCTCCGAGACACCACGATTCCTCAGCCGGTGACAAGTCCAAGGACTCTCCGCTTGGCCATGTGGCAGGAACTGGGATGTCCCGCCACGGGTCAGTGTTGGTGGTGGTCTGTCTCTCGTCCGGGCGAGGTCCCTCCTGGGGAGAGCCCGATTTTACTTGTACGGTTGGTGGTTGAGCAGATCCTCTTTATTTCCGTGGAACCCGTGCACGTCCTCGTTCATTGTGACCATAATCTTAGTCCACCCGACAATTACTTTTACGATGATTGCAGCATTTCCTCACCGCGGGGTCTTTGAGACCCGCCCTAGAACTGAAGACCTGATTCCAGCAATAAAGGTGTCGAAGATGAGCCGACGGGAGTGTTCGGGGTTTTGTCGAAGGGGGCTCGGGGTTTTGTCGTAGGAGTCTCGGCCCAAAGGTCAGTGCTGGAAGGGGCGCCCCTCACACCCTTTGCTGCAGGACGACCTTGGGGAGGCCTGGACCCCATGCCCAGGGCCCCACACACTGCACCTAGGAAGCTCCAGACGATGACTGCATCCAGGCATTGAGAGGCGGAGGCAGTGGGGACGCCTGGGGCCCCCCAGGAGCAGCCCTCCAGACAAGGCTGAGGGAGGGGTGGGGATGTGGCCAGGTCCTCCCCGCTCAGGCAGGGTCCCCGTGCTCTTGGAATGTCAGCCTAGACAAGGAGCTGTCACCCCGAGCAGCGCCATCCCCAAGGCCCATCTGCCTCTCTGTGCCCAAAGGAGCTGAGTTGGTGACAGCAAGTGCTCCCTGGGGCCTGGGAGAACACCTGTAGGTCCCGCTTCCAGGAACTGGCTGGCCTTGCCCCCCACAAGAGGCTGAAGTTGCCAGGCAAGGAAGAGCACTGGGCAGGGGGTGTGGCCACACTACAGAGGGTGCTGCCCAGATGCCCAGCACCTGGCTCTGCCCAGGCCCATGGGGGCACCAGCCTGCTGAGCCAGACAAGCTGTCTGTGTGTGGTGCCCCCCCCAAACAGCGCTCTGAGTGCCTTACAGGCAGGGAAATGGGTGCTCCTGGAGGTACCCCCCCAGCCCCCCCAGTGCCCAGAGTGCTGGGAAGGGGGCCTCTGCTAAGGGCCAAGGCGAGCACGTCTCCCCTTTGCGTGAGGGGAGGGGGAGACTGACCGAGCCTGGCCCCTCCCCTCGCCCAGGGCCAGGTGGGCGGGTCGACTGTGCCCGGAGTTAACCCGGAGGGGCCTCCATCCCAGGTCTTCCCACCACATAGCTTCCTTGTAGGACGAGACATCGGGCGGGTGTCCTATGAAGTCTTGGGGGCTGCAAGCCCATTTTTGTTGGCTGTGGGATGTAAGGGAGAGCCTGATCCCCTCTGCTTTCCGGTTAGGACTCAGAGGTGGAGGGTCCGAGGACACATCAAGAGGGGCAGGGGCGGGCTGGCCACCATCTGCAGGCGCCTGCCTGAGGCCACACACACGGGGCCTCTCGCGTGTCAGCTAGAGACATCCCGACCCAGCCCATGAGGTGGGAGGTGGGAGATGGGAGGCTGCGAGGCCCAGCTGCAGACGAGTCCATAAAGCACTCAGAGGGGTGCTGGGCCCGAGCTGTGGCTGGGTGCGAGATGCTTTAGGCACAGCAAGCACCCTGGAGCTGCACAGGGGACAAGACACAGGTATGGCCTGGTGGAGGGTGGCCTCTGTGGCCCCTGTGCCCCAGACGGGAGAGCTGCTCGCCTTGGCCAAAGGCTGCTCAGGGGCAGCGGGCTGTGCTCGCAGAGTCAGAGAGGACCCACCCCGGGCCAAGCATGTTCCAGAAGGCGGGCCGGGGAGGTGTGGTTTCCAGGCATCACCCACACCCCCTTCCCCCCACAACGCACAAGGCTGCCGCTGCCCCAGAGGAACAGGGTGTGTAAGCGAGGGGGCCTGCAGTGATTTAGAAATAAGCTCTCATGCTTGGCCTGGCACCAACACGCTATTTAATCAATCATCATCTCGACCTTCTCAAGGGCCGCGTGGCGCCCGCCATCCCAGCTCCCCAGCTCGCCTTTATTGGAATGCAGGACACGGGCCGCGCAGGCGCTGCGAGGCCCCCGGCACCCTTTTCTGCATGTAAGGCCTGGGGACCCCTCCTCTGGGGGTCTCCCACGTGGAGCCCCCGCCTGGCTGGAAAGGCCCTGGCTCTTGGACCCTGGGAGACCTCACCCCTGCCCCCATCCTGCCCCAGAATGGGCGTGCGCCCGATGTGGCCCTGTGTGTCCTCTAGGTGACACTCCCTACACCTGGCGTTGACTCACTCAGTTAGGCCCAGCCCCCCACCAAGTGATTTCTGCTTTGTGGAAGGGGCTCTGGTGGGGTTCTGGCTGCAGCCACGCCTCCCAGGCCGCATCAGGGGGTGGCGGCCTCGCCCTGGCCGCTGGCCCGGACAGCCTGGTACATGCTGAGGAGGGAGGAGATGGTCCCAAGGAGCCCCACGAGCCACGGGGGGAAGCGGCCAGCCCACAGGACACCCGGAGGCAGCCAGTGCACAGCATTGGCCAGATCTGCCGCGTTGCTCAGGAGGGTCAGCACCTCCGACTGGATCTGGGCCTCCACGGCCCTCCTCTTGCTCCGCGGCAGCCGGCTGTGGGAGCAAAGAGAAGCAGCTGGGGAAGACCCACGCACACCCAGGCTCACCCGGACAGCAGGGAGAGGTGACAGCAGAGTGAGTGAGAACTGGTGGGGCTGAGTCCCTGTCGCACCCCCCAGAAGGAGTCTCCAGCGTGAACAGGGCACAGACTAGTGTGGGAAGTCTCAAACCCACACCACAGTCCTCTGGGCCCTGAAGACAGGCCGGGAGCTGGCTGGTGGGCACAGCGTTGCCCCACATTCCTTCCCAGGATGCAACAGGGACAGTGACCTCAGTCCCTAAGAAACCTGTTTCTGACCACCTGCCCTGCATGGGGTGTGGCCAAGAGGGCTCAGCCACGTCCCGCCGACAGGCCTCAAGCCAGCCTCAGTTTCTCCATCTGGGCCAGCCTCTGGAGCTGCTGTAAGGCCCCCGTGCAGGCCCGCACAGGGGCGAGGCTGAAAACTGGTGACAGCTCAAGGCACCTCCCTGGCTAGGGAAACCCACCAGGGTCCCCAGCTTGCGGGAGGAAGTCGGCCTTTCTCCAGGCAAAACCGCGGGGTCGTACCTGGTGAAGGCTACCGCAGGGCCCCTCAGCCTCCAGCTCAGCGTCAGGACCATCCTCAAGGACCTGCGGCAGGCAAGGAAAGCAGGGTGGGGGCGCAGGCTTAGCTCCCCAGCACCAGCCCGAGGGGAGGCCACCACCCGCCACAATGGCCACATGTGGCCGCAGCCGTCGTGCACCCTCCCAGAGCTCCAGACCCACCTGGGCCTCGGAAGCTCCCGGTAACTCCTAATTCAGGCCCTGACCTGCCTGCCCTGTCCACACAAGATCTGGAAGCATCTAGTGCTTCTGATGCTGGAGCCAGCCACGCGTCCCTGTCCACGCAGCCTGTCCCCAGAGAGCAGGGGACCCAAGGCAGCCCCTGCAGTGAGGTAAGTGGGTCTGCATCGGGGCCCCCTCGAAGACCGGGGCAAAACGCCAATTCCTGCGCCCCGGGCCCCGACTCGCCAAATCCAAACCTCTCGCCACCTGGGCCTCTGCATTGTTGCAACAACCTCCCCCTGCTGACTCTCAGGCACTTGGGGTCCTACGGACACCTGGCCGGGACCCCCACACTTGCTCACCCCAGGTAAGAGAGAAATGATGGAAAAAGTATAAGCTCTAAAAATGAAGAGGCCGAGCACAGACGGTCTGAGGCCGATGCCACCACTCTGTGATCGCACAGCAGCGGAAATGTCTCGTTCCACACCTGTCCAGGCCCCCAGGACGCGCCACCCAGTGAATCCTGATGCAAACCACAGTCTTGGGGTGCCCGTGACTTGTCGACGTGGCTTCATCAGCTGCTGGGGAGTTTGATAATGGAGGGGCTGTGGGGCGGGTAGGGCACCTGCAGAAGCTCTCTTTTCTTTCGGTTCAATTGCGCTGGGAAGATGAACTAAAAATGAAAGTCTGTTTTAAAAATTAATGGATCCGGGGTGCCTGGCAGGCTCAGTTGGTGCAGCCTGCCACGATCGATCTCAGGGTTGTGAGTTCGAGCCCCACTGTGGGTGTAGAGATGACTTAAAAATTTTTTTAGAAAATTTTTTAAAAACAAATCAATGGGACCAAGGATGCTCTAAAACAGGAACGCGCAGCATCTTGGGGCCAGAGGTCCCAGGCACTGTGAGGAGAGGCCAGGAGCCAGCCCTCTGGGAGCTGTATGGAGAGTGGGGATCTCCGCATTGGACTGTGGATGGCTTGAACCTTCCACTCTGCGGTTTGTTCTCATGTTCCAGACCATCGATGATAACAGTATAATTAGGGGATGTGTCCCTGGGGAAAACAAGGGCTTTGGAATGTCGGTGTCTGGGGTGGGGGGGGAATGGCAGCTGATGTGGGCTCCTCCCCCACCCCTCCGGGGATCTGAGAGGCCCACCTGTGCCTTCGGATCAGGGAGCTCAAAACAATCCCACTGAGCCCCTGTACGGAGAGAAAAATGTTCGGAAGGAAACCCTTATTTGAAAGTTCTAGAAAGTTCTAGTGTGGGTTTCAGAAGCACATAGCCAGTCAGGAAACTCCTGGCTGTTCTCTTTGGGGATGTTTACCGACAACCACGCAAACCCGGAGTTCAGAGAGCCCGGGGAAAGGCAGTCCCACCCTCTCCTTCTGTCCCCAGCCTGGAGTTCTTTCTGTGTCCTGGGTCCAGTGGGCACAACCACGCCCTCCATAGATGTCCACATCCTAATACTCCCAGGCCCTGTGAGCGTGCTCTCTGACACGGCACAAATGACTCTGCAGATGGGCGAGGATATGGGGTCCTCACAGGGCCCTCAGGAGGGGGAGGCAGCAGGGTTGGAGCCGGAGACATGCCCAAGCGAGCGGGCTGTCAGGATGTGCTCTGGAGACGGAGAGGGGGCCGGATCCAAGGAGGTGCCCCTTATAGCCAGCTGGAGGGCATTAGGGCCACATACCTGGCAATGCCCAGGAGCAGGGAGAGGCCCCAGAAGGCTGTGCTCAGTGTCCACCATCGGGCAGAGTCCACGCGGAGGATCTTGGCATCAGCGGCCCAGGCGATGTGCTCACAGGGGTAGTAGAGCTGGTCGGCCAGGTTGCCGAGGACCGATACGCAGCGGACAAAGATGTCCTCCTCCTGCAGGACCGGGGGTGGGGGACATGGGCCTGGAGTCAGACCTAGCCAGGCCCATCTTAGGGACCCAGACCAAGCCCAATAGCGGTCACAGGGCGGCGTCGAGGCCCAGCAGGCCGGCCCACGGCTGGCCACCTCGG